ATTAAATACTTTTGATTTTTCTACTCCCTCCATTTCAAATTATATGTCATTTTAGAGTAAAATTTTCGTTTCAAAATAAGTGTCGTTTTATAATTTCGATGCAAAATTTATTGATTTTAAAGGTTATTCTATTTTTTCATTGGTTGAAAAGTGGTTAGGTGTATAGGTAATTGTGTTTTTATTTTGAAAATATGTAAAATTAATTGTTTTCTTAATCTGTGTGCAAAACTCTAGAATGACAATTAAATTGAAACGGAGGGAGTATTAAAACATCTCCAAAACATATTTTATAACTTCAAATATGAAGTTTTTGGTTCTCCAAAACGGAACTCTAAAACTTTAAATTTGAAGTTTTGAGTAGTGAAACTTTAAATATAGAGTGTCATAACTCAAAACTTCAAATTTAAAGTTTTATATTTTTTTTTGCATTTTGGTCCTTACAATTATACATTATATTTATAAGTCTTATATATTTTATGTTTTTATCATTTTAACCCTTGAGAATTCATATCTCGTTAATATTTCGAGGTTTTTTTTTATAAATTTAAATTTTACACATATTGTTTTCACAAAAAAACAAGATAAGACTAAAAATAGTTAAAATTAGAACTAGACAACAACAATATTACAAAACTTAAGGTGATATTTTATTTATAGTTTAACATTTAATTATATATTTCTATTGATAATTCATATTTTAGTGTAATATTTTACCATTTAATATTGCTGTAATATTTTTATATATGTGCTAGTTATTTATAAAATTTCTATGAATTTAAACTAGTCATGATAACTATAAGGACAATAGTATAAAATACAAATAGTTTTAAAGTTAAATTTGAAGTTTTGTTTTGGGAGCATAACACCTACAAACTACAAATATAGAGTTTTGCAAACTCTAAAATAGAGTGTCTTTTTGGAGATACTTTTACTTTCCATGATATTACAGTCTCCTAAATTTCTGCCATTCTATCTTTCCTTTTCTATGTAAAGAGACCATTGATTTAGTCCAAAAGAATAAAACCGTCTATGAGATTACACAAAAGTAAAAGCTTTCTCAAGATCAGTCGGCCACCAAAGGTACTAGGACTGGGCATAATATCTTTATCCCAAGTATTGACCCGACACCAACCTGAAAAGCAGGGTATCAAATCTGATTAGATATTTGCCTAAATATCCAAAAATTCTTTTCTTTTCAAAACCTAAAAAAATCGAAACTGAACCCAATCCATACCAAGAACCGAATGAGTATCCGAATATATCCAAACATATAAATATATATGAAAATAATATCTATAATTATACATTTACTAATAGTAATACCTAAAACTAAAACTATATATCAAATATATTTATTATTTTGAATATTTATAGATAGAAGTTGATGTTTTGGATATAAAATACTCAAATAACATTGTATCTACAGTTACTTTCGAACAAACAAATAATCAGTGTGAACTATATATATTGAGTATTTTAAGATTTTAGTTGCTTTTAGATAAGTTTAAGTAATTTAGATATAAAATATTCGAATAGATTCGAGTACTTTGATTATTTTGGTTAAAACTTGAACGGGAAAATTGTCATTTAAATCACCAACTTTCAAATTTGGTTGAAATAAAACACCAACTTTCTCATAAGCCAAAAAACACTCAACTTTTGTTGATAAGCCATTTTAGTCACAAACTTTCGTCGACTATACCAATTTAGTCATATCGTCAGTTAACAGTTATAGTTGACTAACGGTATGCCTAAATTGTCTTTGAAAGTTGGTGTTTTTTTGACACAAATATAAATCAACAATTTTTCAAAATATTGGCTTTTAAATATTGAAACTTTTAAATAACTATAACACTAATAAATAAAATTGTAAATAAAAAATAAATTCCATTCAAAAATATAAACATAACTCAATGTAAAATTATTAATTAACATATGCGTAATTGAGTATTTTAGTTAAAAAATGATTCTGATTTTTTAATTATTTACTATTAATTTTAAAAAACTATTTGTATAATCCTACACGGATTATGTTTTATAATTTTACTGTCAAAAATTTGTTAGTAAAATATTACTTCAATTCTTGATTTTTTAAACAAAATGAGTTATCGGATAACAAAAAGAGTTATCTATTTTGGTGAAACTTATTTTTTTTTAATGCAGAAAATCTCTTGTAAAAATTTTATAGAAAATATATAGATTTGTTTTAAGATTTTTATTATAAACTGAAAGAATCATGAATAATTCGTTAATCGATAACTTTTTCATTTAAGAAACAAGAGTTAAATTAATATTTCATTAACAAACTTTTGAAAATAAAATTATAAAACATAATTCAAATAGGATTATATAAATATTTACAAAAATTAATCGTAAATAATTAAAATATTCTTATCATTTTATAACCAAGATACTCAATTAATGTATGTTAACTAATTATTTTACATTGAGTTTTATTTCTATTTTTATTGGATTTTTTATTTATAATTTTATTTATTAGTGCTTCAGTTATAAAAATATTTTCAATATTTAAAATATATCCAATATTGTAAAATAAATATTGATTTATATTTGTGCCAAAAAAACATCAACTTTGAAAACCATTTTAAGTCTACCGTTAGTCAACTATAATTGTTAATTAACGATATGCCTAAATTGGTATGGTCGACGAAAGTTTGTGATTAAAATGGCTTGTCAACAAAAGTTGAGTGCTTTTTGGGCTTTTGAGAAAGTTGATGCTTTATTTCAACCAAATTTGAAAATTGGTGATTTAAATGACAATTTTCCCAAACTTGAACCCACCTGAAATTAGAGAATCTAACTTGATCTAGTTTTTCGTAATATTCGAATGCGACTAGTTTTAAAACCTGAAAAAAAACTAATACAAATGGATCATACTCATATCTGAAGTACTCCAACGGCCAGACCTAAAAGGTACATTACAAAGTTTTTTAAACCTAATTAATATTGCCTCTTTAGGCACGTGTCCGAGTCATGTTGCATATAATAGATCTTGTCACCACTTCTTCTCTACTGAAGTTACAGAAAAGATCATTTCCATTTCTTTATAAGCAAGTAGTATGTCCCAGCATCTTTGGGAGATTGTGTCACCTCTATTAAATATACAAAAAGAGTATAAAAAGACTAAACTTGCAACCACCAAATACAACTTGTTTATATATAATTTCATATACTAACACTAGTATAGACCCGCCTTAACTACAAGCAGAAAAATAAATAAAATCTAACTTAAAATGTGTAATTTATTTTTAACTAATCGTAAAATTATTTTTATGTTTTTATCTTAAAAAGTTATCTATTTAGTTAACTACTTACTTTGAAAATCGTAAATTTATTAATCATTAAAAATTATTAATTTGATATATTTTAAGAGTTTATTATAGTAATAGTTAGAATTACCTTTTAAAAATTGCTCAATGATTTTGGTGAAATTATAAGTAAATTAATTAATTAGTGTGTAGTTTGATCATTTTAACTGAAAATATATTTAAGTTAGATAGACTACATAAAAATTTAATAATGATCATTACTATTCCGAATTATAAATGTTTGCTTGAGTTTAAATATTAAATCACATAAAATTTAAGGTTATAAGTTTTAAAATAAATGGCACTTAGCAATTAGGGGAAATTATCATAGTATAATTCTTACACTTTATTATATATATAGTTAAGTTATTATATATTATCTAATTTTAATTATATATTCTGAATTCTTTTCAAATAAAATATTTATATATAACAGTATAAATTATTTTTTATTATAATTTTGGGTTATATAATATTTTTTAATCAGATTTCTTCTTTTAAATAAGAATTTTTTAAACTACAAATATGAGAAAGTAAGCATATCAGTATAAGTAAATTTTACTTTTTACTATATTATTTTAATAAATTATTTTAAATATATGATACTGAAATGATTTTTTTTCCAATTCAATCACATTTATTATATTATTAAGAATAAAAAAAATTTGACTTTTTTTTCAAATCGGTTTGCATATATAATGATATGGTATACTGCGGAGGATGATGACATAAGTCACCAACTTAAAAGCTATTTTAAAGTAAAATTTGATTTTTGGATATATATAAATTAGAATTATATGAGGAAAACTGAATTTATTAAAATTTATACTATTAAAAATATTGTATGTAATTTGGAAAGGAAAAATTATCCATGGTTTTAAAGTGCATATCAAAATCTATCTATACTATTAAAACATAATCTCTATTAGGATTCTGTCTTTAATTTATGAATTATTTACAATGAAATCCTACTCTTTAATTTTAGTTACCAATTTTAACTATTTATTAACACAGATGTTACCATATTTTGTGGAGATTATAATATTTTGGAACTAAATGTGATCATAATCTAATAAATTTCAGACGTTATAGATTCATATAATATTATTCATGATTCGTTGTAGTTTAGAAAATTCATAATTAACCGGTTTGAATTAGTTAAGAAAAACTATTCGATAATTTATTTCAACCACGAAACAAAGTGAACATAATCTTAACTCCTTCGGCTGTTGTTTAATCTGGCAAACAAAATATGCCGTATGTAATTAACATAACTATGTAAATGAAAATAGATGTTTTATGAGAAATTTTGATGTACCTTTTTCAGAATGTTTTGAAGTAAACTATTAAAGAGAAAATTGCATAAAAACCTTACAACTAAAATTTTCTTATTCGGTAAAATTATAAAATATTTTAGTCAAACTAATATATATATTAAACTTACAATGAATATTTCATTAAAACTAAAATATATTAATTTCCTTTTAAATTATGATCATGTATTATATCACGAGTTAGAAAACAAAATATAACTTTAACTTCTATTTATAAGTTTATGATCAAAAAGATAAAATTACATAACTATATAATACTCAAGTTACACTTATAATAAATCATTTTCATATAAATTTTATATAATTGATTTTTTTTTATTTATCCAACGCGCCATAATCAGGGAGCTGCATTACCCAACTCCAACTCCCCGGGGGTGACTTGGGCAGACGTCCTGCCACGACGCTTGATGCATTCGTAGATCACCAACCCTAACAGAAAGATTCCGACGAGGCCGAGGAATAGGAATCCCCATGTCGCCGGAATCGTGTGATCTGCAACCTCAGGTGGGGTGTCTTGGATTCCCATCCTGAAACGACGAATTTTAATTAGAACATAGAAATAAACTGTATGAGTTTCATTGCAGCTCAATTAGTTAATGTATGTATGGACTTTAAACACACCCCTATACCAGAGTTCGAACAACAGTTGCAACATATAGTAATACAATAATTTTTGTTTTTGGTATGGTTCGAGCTTAAAGCTCATTATTCTTTTGAGCTTTTTCTATCTGGATCGTAGTGTGAGTTTAACTTTGAATTTTGTTTGGGCTAGACACTAAAAATTTAATTTAGTGAATTTTTTTGGGGCTTATAAAACCCAAATTTAACTTTGTCTTAATTAAAAATCTCAACATTTTTTATAGGGAAAATTTGGAGAAACATACCTAAATTAGATATAATTTGAAAACTACACATATTTTAGTTATGTGATGTTCATGTTGTCTAGATAGTATTTTGTCTGTTATCTCTCTCGGGAAATTAGTGGACTCTCTGGTGGTTTTTGGTCATAGGCTTGTAGTGTTTTCTGGTTTTTGATGATGGTGTGAATGTTTTCCTGTCTGTAACTGCCAGTCTCCTATTATGTTTTCGGTGGTTGTTGACGGGTTGACCTCATTAAACTCTAGATCTGTTGAGATTGGAGTGATCTTTGTAAGGTTTTTATTGAGGTGTAGTTCGGATGCAATGAAGTTGTGTCGCTACCGTTTCTGGAAGAGAATGTAATCATAGAGTGGATCTATCTTGTCGGGTTATAAAGTCTGGTTTCATTCACTTGGAGACGTGTGCTCTCGGTGTTGTAGAGGTTGATGTTATTGTTCGGTGGACCGAGGGTTTGAATTTTTCTTTGTAGTAATGTATGTGTTATTCTTTGATCATGTAAGCTGCCATGTGTGGGTTTTAGTTGCCAGTTCCTTTGGTTTCAGTTGGATGTTCCTTAGATTTTAGTTTGTGTCAATGGTTGTTTTTGATGAATAAATATTTTCAGTGAAAAAAAAACTATACATATATTTAAACAATTTGAAGAATACACTTTTGTAAATATGAATTTACTAAATTATCCAATCTGAATACTTAGTATTATTATCAAATTTTATGATCAGAAATGATTTAATATTAAAATATACAGTTTTAACAAGAATATAAGATTGTTTTAAAAAATAAATAAATCTTTATAATATATATATACAATATCTTAATTTTTTTTAAAAAAACTTGAAAAACAAATAAGAAGACAAGCGAGACGTGCCTTGTCTCCTTCCATGATTTTTTAATCCTCCATTTGTGCTGAGCATTTTTTCCTTAGTCTCATAATTGTTTCTTCCTTTGATTCAGAAGTTTGTTAACTATTCACCCATGTACGTAAATCTAATTTAGTTTAGTAAATTCTCGTTTTCTTCCAACTCTATAATACAGAGATGCAAATAATCTCAAGCAACAACATTTGTTTTCTTCCAACTCTATAATACAGAGATGAAAATAATCTCAAGCAACAACATTTGTTTTCTTCGATTCACACTGTTGTTATGTGTTTGTTTTTCTTATGTCTATCTAAGCAACTAAAATAAAAGAATTTGTAAAATATAAGAATCAAACGATTGTTTTGATTTCCCAAAAGCGTCATACCTCATAAAAATAACGTCTTTGTTGTTGCGTGCCTTTCTTATAACAAGAATTTAGATATAGCAAAGCAATTTTTATTTTGTTAAACTAAAAAAGTGTATTTTATGTTTTTTTTTTTTTTGCTAAAAGTGTGTATTTAATGTTTTGCTCTGTTTCTGGGTTTTTGGTTACCGTTTGGTGCAGGGTTGTGTTCTCTTTAATTTTTTGCTTGGTGACATTTTCAAGGCTAAAGACTAAAGTAATAATGCATCATTTGATATAGCAACAACTTGTTTATATTATGTTAAAAGAAAATTATACATAGAAACTTTGTGATAAAGTCAAAACAAAACCATAAATTTTATTTCATAATATCTTTGTTAATGTATTTATATTTTCAACATAATATGATTTGATTTCTCTAACAGAATTACAATTTATTCATGGATTTTTTCAGCAAAAAAAAATTTTATTCATAGATTATAAATTGAATTGTAATTCCAAAGTTTAAAAACTATAAAATATACGTTCAAAAAAACATTACTAGCATAAGCTCACTATTAGTACACAATGAAAAAAACATTTATATTCATTATTATGAGTGACAACAATAATAGCATATAGTATCTGAAGTGCGATAAAAAAAAAAACCCAATCTGATCAGTGTAATAGAAATTTGAGTTTAGTCAACGATGAAATCTATTTTCTGGGTTTGATCAAATGACTGATATAGATGAAAAAGCCACTTCATGTTCATATATTTTCTGGATACAAAGAATTTGATTTATTAAAGTGAGAAATGTTGCCACTAGATGAGTATTTTTCATCACGTCATGTTTTTTTTCATTTGAGTCTTGGTTTTAACTGAAAATGTTTATAAAATCATGAGGTAATATGTTATTTTGACTCCAATATTTTACACATAAAACTGTATGCAAATTCATTGAAAGTATTTCAAGTCAAAGGAATTGAATTTTTTTATCAAACATGAATAACACCAGATTTTAAATCTTGTATTTATGTATAAAATTGAATAACAACAGATTTTGAATTTTTTTAATGAAAAAATGTAAATACAAGAACTAATAACATTAGATTTCAAAATCTTTTAACAAAATATTTTAAATACAATAACCAATAACACATGATTTTGATAAAAGATTTAAAATTAATCACTAAAAAACACAAGAAGATCATTATTATTACACTAAATAACCTACTGAACGTTTGCGATTGAAAAGAACAACAAGAAGATCATTATTATTACACGATTGAAAACAAAATTGCCAAGAGCGAAAGTCATTATTATTACACGATTGAAAGAGCGAAGAGCAAAAGTCATTATTATTAAAAGAGCGAAGAGTGAAAGAAACTAACTTACTAGTCTTCCGGTGTTGAAATCTTTGATCGATACTAATCCAAAAAAGAAGGTGTTCTAGTTTTCCGGTGTTGAAATCTTTGATCGAGATAATTCTTACATTCACGACTTGAGTGTAATTTATAACTTACAAGAACAACGACTTAATAAAACCCTGGTTTTCTGAAAAATTACAAGAGTAGCCACTACCGTATTTAATTTAGAGGGAGGGAAATCATTGGCTACTAATTTAATATCTGTGTCTACAGTTGCCCTAAACACAGACTGCACTATTCATCAATACTACTTCCTAGGTTCTTTTTTGGGAAAGTTGGTTTAATATTCTGTTATTGATTTTATCCATTGGTAGCCACTTGTTACACACTCTCTTATTCTATAAAAGAGAGTGATCAATATAATGGATCTTTCAAGCAGAAATAAAAGATATTATTCATCTTTTATAATATGGTATCAGAGCATTTTACTCCAGCGTTCTATTTCCGATCAAGCTCTCTTTGATCGTAAATATTCATCAACATCGGCGATGGTATCCGTACGAAAACCACGGTGTCGCGGTGGCAAATCGGTGTCCTCAGCTCAAAAATCTCGATCTCAAGATGATTCTCCTTCCTCACCTTCTCTGATCACTCAGGAAGCTCTGATCCCTCAGTCTCCGGTGCTTCCGACGACTACCCCAACTCCATCGTATCCATCGTACTACAAATAGTGATAGTCCGGGGAATGTCATCATATCTGAGGTATTCGATGTATCTAACTTTAACTCCTGGAAAATTGCTAGTCTGTTGTTTTGGATGCAAAAAACAAAACAGCTTTCATTGATGGATCTCTTCCACGTCCTTTGGAATCACATCCTAGCTTTCGAATTTGGTCACGATGCAATAGTATGGTAAAATCGTGGTTATTGAATTCGGTTTCCAAGTCCATACAAGAGTATACTCCGTTTTAATGATGCTGTTGAGATTTGGAAAGATTTGATGATTCGTTTTCACATCAATAATATTCCACGATCTTATCAGCTCACTCAACATATTTGGTCTCTTCAACAGTGTAGTATGAGTCTTTCTGATTACTATACTGCTTTGAAAACTCTATGGGATGATTTAGATGGTGCTGAATGTATTAGTACTTGTCACGGTTATACTTGTTGCAAGGCAGCTGATGCAAAGGCTGAACACACCAAGATCATCAAATTTCTGGCAGGACTTAATGAGTCTTACGCGACCATTCGTAGTCAAATCATCATGAAAAAGACCATTCCTGACTTGGCAGAGATCTATAACCTCTTGGATCAAGATCACAATCAACGTAGCTTTGCTCCATTGATGCAGAACAATGCTTCAGCATTCACAGTTTCTTCTTCTGATCCGATATCAGTGAATGCTTCTTACAACAATAATCCTAAACAAAAGAAGGTGCAATGCTCTCATTGTGGCTATATGGGTCATACTGTTGATGGTTGTTACATGATTCATGGTTATCCTCCGGGTTTTAAACACAAATACAAGACTGCTTCTGAGAAGGCTTCTACTGAGAAACAACAACATACAGAGAAGTCGTCTGGTTCTACCAAACTTGTGGTTACTAATTTATCTCTTGGCAAAGACTGGTTCTACCAAACCTGTGGTTACTAATTTATCTTTGGCAAAGACAGTTCTTCAAAATCTGGTATTACTTCAAAAGATATTGACACTCTGATTGGTGGATTATCTAAGAATCAGTACATGACATGACTGCCTACTTCAGCACACAGCTTCAAAATGCCTTCTACATCTTCTATTCCTCGTGATTCTATGTCACCTGACGAAGTGGTTGATTCAGTCTTGAATGGTATTTCTTTCTCCTTTTCTACACTATGTTTTATTGGAGTTTTGACAGCTACTAAATCTGCATCGAGTCCTCAGACTTGGATCATTGATAGTGGTGCTACACATCACGTTTCTCATGGTAAAACCTTGTTTACAAGTTTGTCTATTGGCATGAGTAGTTCTGTTACTCTTCCTAGTGGTGTTACCGTTCAAATCGTAGGAGTTGGAAATATCAGACTGAATGATCATATAATCATTAAGAATGTACTATATTCTCGGATTTTCGACTGAATCTTCTTAGTATCAGTCAGTTAACCAAAGATTTGAATTCACAAGTGATTTTTGATGCGAGTTCTTGTGTGATTCAAGATCGTA